TTGTGTGTGCTACTGTTGCTGTTGGTGCTACTCTGTGTGGGGTGCTGCTCTTGTTTGTGGGTGTTACTGTTGTGAGTGCTACCTTGTTGTGGGTGCTACTCTTGTTGTGGGTGCTACTGTTGTTGTGGGTGCTACTTGTTGTTGGTGCTACTTGCTGTGGGTGCTACTCTTGATTGGGTGCTACTGTTGCTGTGGGTGCTACTCTTGTTGTGGGTGCTACTGTTGTTGTGGGTGCTACTGTTGTTGTGGGTGCTACTGTTGTTGTGTGTGCTACTGTTGCTGTGGGTGCTACTCTTGTTGTGGGTGCTGCTCTTGTTGTGGGTGTTACTGTTGTGAGTGCTACTCTTGTTGTGGGTGCTACTGTTGTTGTGGGTGCTACTGTTGTTGTGGGTGCTACTGTTGTTGTGGGTGCTACTGTTGCTGTGGGTGCTACTCTTGATGTGGGTGCTACTGTTGCTGTGGGTGCTACTCTTGTTGTGGGTGCTACTGTTGTTGTGGGTGCTACTTGTTGTGGGGTGCTTACTGTTGTGGTGCTACTGTTGCTGTGGGTGCTACTCTTGTTGTGGGTGCTACTGTTGTTGTGGGTGTTACTGTTGTGAGTGCTACTCTTGTTGTTGGTGCTACTGTTGTTGTGGGTGCTACTGTTTTTGGTGCTACTGTTGCTGTGGGTGCTACTCTTGTTGTGGGTGCTACTATTGCAGTGGGTGCTACTCTTGTTGTGGGTGCTACTGTTGTTGTGGGTGCTACGGTTGTTGTGGGTGCTACTGTTGTTGTGGATGCTACTCTTGGTGTGGGTGCTACTGCTGTTGTGGGTGCTACTGTTGTTGTGGTTGCTACTGTTGTTGTGGATGCTACTCTTGTTGTGGATGCTACTGTTGTTGTGGGTGCTACTGTTGTTGTGGATGCTACTCTTGTTGTGGGTGCTACTCTTGTTGTGGGTGCTACTCTTGTTGTGGGTGCTACTCTTGTTGAGGGTGCTACTCTTGTTGTGGGTGCTACCTGTTGTGGTGCTACTCTTGTTGTGGGTGCTACTCTTGTTGTGGGTGCTATTCTTCCTGAGTGTGCTACTCTTCCTGTGGATGATACTCTTTCTGTGGGTGCTGCTGTTGTTTTGGGTGCTACCATTGTTGTGGATTCTACTCTTGTTGTTTGTGCTAGAGTTGTTGTCCGTGCTACTGTGAGTTCTAGTTTTGTTGTTTGTGCTAGAGTTGTTGTCCGTGCTACTGTGAGTTCTAGTATTGTTGTTTGTGCTAGAGTTGTTGTCCGTGCTACTGTGAGTTCTAGTATTGTTGTTTGTGCTAGAGTCATCGTGGGTGCAACTTTTGTTGCGTGTACTATTGTTTTTGTGCTACTGTTGTTGTGGGTGCTACAACTGTTGTAAGTGCTACTCTTGTTGCAGGTGGTGCTACTCTTATTGTTGGTGCTACTCTTGCTGTGGGTACTCACCTAGTTGAGGTTGCTGGAGTCGAGTCCTAGCTCCTGGCCCGCCTCTTCACTGGTCGCTTCTAGGTCACTCTCCCTGAACCGTGAGCTTTATAATACCTCTGCTTAAAGCTATGTATGGATCCTGCCTCCACTACATCGCTTCCCAAACTATTCCACTTCCTGACTACTCTGTGACTGCTCTGTGAGTGCTGCTGTTGTTGTGGATACTACTCATGTTGTGGATGCTACTGTTGCTGCAGGTGCTACTGTTGTTGTGGGTGCTACTATTGTTGTTGGTGCTACTCTTGCTCTGGGCCCTTTTCTTGTTGTGGGTGCTACTGTTGCTGTGGGTGCTACTGTTGTGGGTGCTACTGTTGTTGTGGGTGCTACTGTTGTGGGTGCTACTGTTGTTGTGGGTGCTACTGTTGCTGTGGGTGCTACTCTTGTGGGTGCTACTGTTGTTTTGGGTGCTACTGTTGTTGTGGATGCTACTCTTGTTGTGGATGCTACTGTTGTTGTGGGTGCTACTGTTGTGGGTGCTACTGTTGTCGGTGCTACTGTTGTTGTGGGTGCTACTGTTGTTGTGGGTGCTACTGTTGCTGTGGGTGCTACTCTTGTTGTGGGTGCTACTGTTGTTGTGGATGCTACTCTTGTTGTGGGTGCTACTGTTGTTGTGGATGCTACTGTTGTTGTGGGTGCTACTGTTGTTGTGGATACTACTGTTGCTGTGGGTGCTACTCTTGTTGTGGGTGCTACTGTTGTTGTGGATGCTACTGTTGTTGTGGGTGCTACTGTTGTTGTGGATACTACTGTTGCTGTGGGTGCTACTCTTGTTGTGGGTGCTACTGTTGTTGTGGGTGCTACTGTTGTTGTGGATGCTACTCTTGTTGTGGGTGCTACTGTTGTTGTGGGTGCTACTGTTGTTGTGGGTTCTACTGTTGTTGTGGATGCTACTCTTGTGGGTGCTACTGTTGTTGCGGGTGCTACTGCTGTTGTGGATGCTACTCTTGTTGTGGGTGCTACTCTTGTTGTGGGTGCTACTCTTGTTGTGGGTGCTACTCTTGTTGTGGGTGCTACTCTTGTTGTGGGTGCTTTTCTTGTTGTGGGTGCTACTGTTGTTGTGGGTGCTACTCTTGTTGTGGGTGCTATTCTTCCTGAGTGTGCTACTCTTCCTGTGGATGGTACTCTTTCTGTGGGTGCTGCTGTTGTTTTGGGTGCTACTGTTCTTCTGGGTGCTACCATTGTTGTGGATTCTACTCTTCTTGTTTGTGCTAGAGTTGTTGTCCGTGCTGCTGTGAGTTCTAGTATTGTTGTTTGTGCTAGAGTTGTTGTCCGTGCTACTGTGAGTTCTAGTATTGTTGTTTGTGCTAGATGTTGTTGTCCGTGCTACTATGTTGATGTGTTGTGCTAGTATTGTTGTGTTGTGCTAGTATGTTGTTTGTGGGTTGCACTTTGTTGCGTGTACTATTGTTTTTGTGCTACTGTTGTTGTGGGTGTACAACTGTTGTTAAGTGTCTACTTTGTTGCAGTTGTACTCTTACTGTTGGTGCTACTCTTGCTGTGGGTACTCACCTAGTTGTACTCACCTAGTTGAGGTTGCAGGAGTCGAGCCTAGCTCCTGGCCCGCCTCTTTACTGGTCGCTTCTAGTCCTCTCCTGAACCGTGACTTTATAATACTCTGCTTATACTATGTATGATCCTGCTCCACTACATCGCTTCCAAACTATTCACTTCCTGACTACTCTGTGACTGTCGTGAGTGCTGCTGTTGTTGTGGTACTACTCATGTTGTGGTGCTACTTTCTGCAGGTGCTACTTTGTTGTGGGTCTCTTTTGCTGTTGGTGCTACTCTTGTTTTGGGCCCTATTTCTTGTGTGGTGCTACGTTGTTGTGGTTGCTACTGTTGTTGTGGTGCACTGTTGTTGTGTGGTGCTACTGTTGATTGTGTGCTACTGTTGTTTGGGTGCTACTGTTGTTGTGTGTGCTACTGTTGTTGTGGATGCTACTCTGTTGTGGTGCTACTCTCTCTGTGGCAAATCTGTTATAGGTCTACTCTACTGTGAGTCTTCTCTGTTTGTGTGTACCTTCTGTGGTCTTACTGTTATTGTCGTGCTACAGATGTTCGTGCTCACACTTCTTGTGGGTGCAAATGTTGTTGTGGAGCTACTCTTCTCTATCTGTGGAGTGCACTCTTGTTGTGAGTAGCTATGTTGTTGTGGTGTATTATAGCTGTTGGTGCTAATCATATTGTGTGTGCTACTTGTTGTTATGGTGCTACTCTTCTGTGGGTCTACTCTATTGTGTGGTGCTACTCAGCTGTGGGTCCATCTCTTGTTGTGGGTGCTACTCTTGTTTAGGTCTACTCTATTGTCTGGTGCTACTCATCTATGGCCTTCTCTGTGTCTGGGTGCTAACTCGTGAGTTAGTCCTCTCTTAATATGTGGGTGCTACTACATGCTCAATGGGTTCCTTCTCTTGTGTGGGTGCTACATGCTTGTGAGTCCTTGCTTTGTTGTGGGATCTACTCTATTTGTGGTGCTACTCTTGTTGTGGTTGCTACTGTTTTGTGGGTGCTACTTTGTTGTGGTGCTACTGTTGTTGCGGTGCTCTTCTTTGTTGTAGTGCTACTGTTGTTGATCAGTGGATAATATACAGTGAATTGTTGTGTCTGTCGTTGTATTCAGAAAGCGTGCACGGCTCATGTTTAGCGGCGGAGTCAGGTGAAGTACCCAATGGTGTAATAGTAAATAGTAGTAGTAATACAGAGTAGTAGTACTGTAATGAAAGTGTGAGAATGATGACATATAAAATACTGACAGTATGGAAAAGGAGATGTGAATTCAAGATATATTTGTCTTGAATATAGCTCGCTTAGTGGGCGAAACTTTGTTAATAAGGGTCACATTATACATTATTGGTTATCGTTCCAGGATTTCAAGTGTTTAAGAATTATATTCTCCAGAGATATTCTTGTTTCTTCTACATATTTCTTGTCTCACCTTAACAAAGTATGATGTACACACCCGGCAAGTTGACACACTCTCTTGTGTGCGTTTTTTAACTTTAATAAATACAGTAGCGGCTGTTATCAGTAGCACAGGTCAATGTATAATAAACTATGGGAAAAAACACTAATGTACAGTTCAGGAAATTTATTAGAGGAAAAATTTCATGGCAAGTAACTTCTTGTGTGGTAATACAGAGATAACTAAGACCGAGTATATATAGTGGCAGAAATAAGATGGTAAGTTGCGAGAGAGGGTGGTAGTTGTAGTAGTACTAGTGGCAGTAGTAGTAGTAATAGTAGTGATGGTAGTAGTGGTAGTAGTGGTAGTAGTAGTAGTAGTAGTAGTAGTAGTAGTAGTAGTAGTACAATTGTGGTGAGATAGATTGAGTTTAATAAGAACTTGTCAACATCAAGTTACAGTTGTCTCAAGAATAATGTTTCTAAAATGTTGCAAAAATGTCTCATTCTTCATCGTGTTGGTTTTAGTAAACTGTTTTCATTATATTTAATGCATCGCCCCGGGATGAGGGTCAGCTGGTAATGGCGTCGTAGAGGTGAACCCTCACTCCAGCTTCTGCTGTCAGTCAGTGGGTGTCTTTCAGTGTGTAAAGTCTGCCGCTCTGGCTGCTAGTGGTTGCTGCTCCATACTAGTTTACTAAACTGTGAACATAATAATAATAATAATTAATGACGAGTGCTTAAATTGAAACTAGAGTTCCTTTACGCCTTCTGGTGAAGCCAAAAACACCATTATATTTGTGATTATGTTTTATTATGCGTTGATGCATAATAAAACAGTTTTCTCAACTGTGGAGTATTGTCCATAGTTGGGAAAACATATTATGACGTTACCGACGCCTTTTAAGGGGAAGCCTTAATAATACTGAAAAGTTTTTGATTCAAGTAGTAATTGTAAATAGTGTATTCTTCTCATCAATCATGAGAGCTCACATTTCCTGGTCACTCTTCATCCTCAACACATTTATTGCCTCCCAGGAATATAATAAGGAAATAGGAGTTAAGTGTTGTGAAGTGGAATTTCATGTTAACTATGAAGAACTGTTTTTGTATCATTAGAAACCACCGACACGTGAATAATTTCCATTTTGCCACACTATAGTGTTTATCGTGTAGTATTGATGATGGCATCAACATTGTGTCACACTATAGTGTTTATCTTGTACTATTGACGATGGCATCAATAATGATGTTAATGAATTTAATTCTTCAGAATGTTTATTATTTATTGATCAGTTTGAATGTTCAAGTCTAAAATAAAGTAATTACAACATTTAAAGTCAATAGTTCCTCAGACATTTCCATAATTATAATATTAAACCTGGTATGTATTTTTCTTCTGATGTTTCACAGGAAATAAACACCATCAAAATAGAGTATGAACTACCTACTGGTATTTTAAGTTGTCATATTTATTTTATACTTGGACTTATTATGAGATAATAAACAACAGTCTTAACTACGTCACTAAATCTTCGTTGATATCACTAAATGGTGAACATCATTTTCGTTGACATCATCTGCACTGTCATTGAATTGTGAGTAAATATCTGTAGAATTCAGAAGAGAGTTAGAATCATTAGGTATGCCAGAAGTGGGATCTTTAAGAGGTTTCCTGATTATTTTTCTTACTCTAACTTTTAATTTTTATTTTGCTCGTAAGTCAAATAGGCCTCACCCAAACACCTATAAAATTTTAACAGTTGTACATGGTCATTAAGGCCAGATTCTTAGAGCAACTGGGAAGTGCGCATGACCAGTATCCAGAATTGTTCATCCCATTCCCAGCATCCTGGAATGGCTCAGATAACTATCAAAATTCTCAGCAGCTTTGCTTCAAACACTTAAAAAAGGTGTCTCCTAATACAGTGACGGAGGAAAGTAAGATTTCAGTATGTTGGTGTAGATATGATCATTTTAAGAGTAAAGAACATAAGAACATAAGAAAGAAGGAACACTGCAACAAGCCTATTGGCCTATGCGAGGCAGGTCCAATTGTCCTACCGGCTTAAGCCAATGCTTTAACCTAGTCAGGTCAGATCACGTTCACTTAAGGAAGGAGCATGGCATCTGACCTAGTAGCACAAACTAGTCAGGTCAAACTCACGCCTGCCCACACTCACTCATGTACTTATCTAATCTATTTTTAAAACTACACAACGTCTTAGCTTCCATGATGGTGCTCGGGAGTCTGTTCCACTCAACCACAACTCTATTTAACCAAACCAATGCTTTCCTATATCCTTCCTGAATCTGAATTTTTCCAGCTTAAAATCATTGCTGCGAGTCCTGTCTATGCTAGATATTTTTAGCAGGCTCTTTACATTCCCTTTATTAATTCCTGTTTTCCAGTTATACACCTCAATCAGATCGCTCCTAATTCTACGCCTTTCTAGAGAGTGCAGATTCAGGGCCCTCAGTCTATCCTCATAGGGAAGATTTCTGATACATGGGGTCAACTTTGTAATCCTCCTACGTCCGTTTTCCAGTGCATTTATATCCATTCTGTAATACGGTGACCGAAACTGTGCAGCATTAGCTAAATGAGGCTTAACCAAAGATATATAGAGTTGAAGAACAACCTGAGGACTTCTATTATTTATACTTCTTGATATGAAGCCAAGGATTCCGTTAGATTTATTGCGAAGACTTATGCACTGTTGTTATGGTTTCAGATTGCTGCTAACCAGAACTCCTAAATCCTTTTCGCAAACCGTAATATTAAGATCTACATTATTTAGTTTATACGTGGCATGCTTATTTTCCTGTCCAGCATTTAGAACTTTGCATTTGTCTATATTAAACTGCATCTGCCACATCTCCAACCACTGTATTAGTCTATTCAAATCATCCTGGAGTGCTCTAATGTCCTCATTAGAATGAATTGGACGGCCTATTTTGGTGTCATCAGCAAATTTGCTTATGTCGCTATTTATTCCCTCATCTATGTCGTTTATGTAAATTGTGAGCAACAAGGGGCCCAACACTGATCCATGTGGAGCACCGCTTGTAACATGTCCCCATTCTGATTTCTCCTCATTTATACAAGCTCTCTGCTGCCTATTTGTCAACCACGCCTCTACCCAGGTAAAAATTTCTCCTCCTATTCTGTGCGCCTTAAGTTTCCTCAATAGCCTCTGGTGTGGAACTCTATCGAAAGCCTTACTGAAGTCCATATACACAATATCATATTCAATACCATGATCTACCTCCTAAAATTCCTTAGTGAAAAAAGTTAGTAAATTCGTAAGAGAAAAACGTCTCTTTGTAAAACTGTGCTGAGATTCATTAATCAGTTTATGCCTTTCAAGACTGCTACGAATTGCCTCGGCAATTATTGATTCCATAATTTACCCACTATGGAAGTAAGGCTTATTGGTCTGTAGTTCGAAGCTAAGGACCTGTCTCCTGCTATATAAATAGGTATTGGATTTGCCATTTCTGCTTGTCTGGCACTATGCCAGTTTACAGTGATATATTGAAAAGATTAGCCAAGGGTATGCTAAGTTCTTCTCTACAGTTCCTTTAAAACCCTTGCAAACAGTTCATCAGGGCCTTGGGATTTGTTTGGTTTTAATTTCTCTATTTGTCTGAGGACCATGTCACTAGTTACCGCAATCATGCATAGTTTGTTATCGTTCTATTCTACAAAATTTATTATTTTTGAAATTTCGCTAGTATCTTCCTGAGTAAAAACTGATAGGAAGTAAGTGTTGAAAAGTTCACACATTTCCTTATCACTCTCAGTGATCTGACCTGAATTACTTTTAAGTGGACCTATCTTGTCTCTAATCTTTCTTTTTTCCTGTTAAAAAACCTTTAATAACTTTCAGTTCACCTCTTCTTAACCGTTTCTATATATAATGACTGATATATCTTGCAGTCACGAGAGTAACCATTAAGTTTAGTTTGTATGTTGGTAAATTTTTACCATTGTTGTAGTTTCCTGAACTGAAGGTTCATGTTGTTAGTGAAGGTCATATGTCTTAACCTGTCAATATTATTGAATATAATATTGATGTTTGTTTGTATTCAGTAACTAAAGGAAGCTTCTTCTGGTTTGGTTCAAAATATTAATGATGATGAGTTGCTGCAAATACTGAATTTTACTGAAATTGTTATAAAATTTGGAATCAGATCAATTACTGCAGAATGTCTTGCCTAATTGATTTCAAGCTTTCACAGTTTTGGGAACTTAAATAAAAGAAAGATTGATGCCCACTTTGAGATGTTTAAGTTTTAATTTTCCAGCTTTAATTAATAAATGTTTTCCAGTGGAATAGCTAGAGAATCCCTCATCTGTTTGGTTTCTAGCTCTAAATAGTTATGAATCTTAATTGCATTGGGTTAGGGATAAATGGGTGCCAATTTGCACGTTTTTAAACCAATTTCTCCAAATTGAATTTTCTAAATCAAGAAATAAAATATTTTTTTCCTATATACGATTGTTGATAATTTGAAATAGAATAAAAACAAGGAAAGAAAATTAAAAACAAAAAATATCGTTTTTAGGGAGCTATTAAATGGAACGAGAACATATTTTCGTAATATCGTAATATTTCTCAGTAATATTTCCTGCTCTCCGTCTTACTCTTAATTCTTTCAAAAATAACTCTACAATACAGCCTACCAGGAATACTCAACAGGTTTAGTTCCCTATAATCCTTACACTCCCTTTGGTCATTTTTACCTTTATTCAAAGAAACTATGCATGTTCTCTGCCAATCTCTAGATACCTCTCACTCTTTCACTAATTTGCTGAATAAAATAAACAACCACTACAGAACTACATCCTCACCTGTTTCTAATATTTCTGTCTTGATCCCATTAATCCCACTCTCTCATTTGCTCTCCTTTCACATTCTCTTTACCTTTCTCTTATTTTCCTTATACTCCACCGTCCTTTGAAAAAACTCTCATATGTTAACCTTTTCTCTCTTACCACTCTCCGTGCCTCATCAATCGCTCCTCTTCCCTCCGACACCCACTCTCTTATATCCATAAACTTCTGCCACATACTCTAATACTACATTCATAAATCTATTCCATAGTTTTTCAACCTCCTCATTACATATACTCTCACTAGCGCATCTTTCTACCATTAGTTACATACCACCTCTCTCTTATTTGCTGATGTCATTCTCCTTGAACTCAGTCTACCTTTTACTCTGACTGTAGCTAAAACTAAAAAATAATCCAAGGAACATAAAATACCCCTGTGTCTTCCTCACTCAGCATACCAAGGAACATAAACCAGTCCGGTGTCTTCATCACTCAGCATACCAAGGAACATAAACCAGTCCTGTGTCTTCATCACTCAGCATACCAAGGAACATAAACCAGTCCGGTGTCTTCATCACTCAGCATACCAAGGAACATAAACCAGTCCTGTGTCTTCATCACTCAGCATACCAAGGAACATAAACCAGTCCTGTGTCTTCCTCACTCAGCATACCAAGGAACATAAACCAGTCCTGTGTCTTCATCACTCAGCATACCAAGGAACATAAACCAGTCCTGTGTCTTCCTCACTCAGCATACCAAGGAACATAAACCAGTCCTGTGTCTTCATCACTCAGCATACCAAGGAACATAAACCAGTCCTGTGTCTTCATCACTCAGCATACCAAGGAACATAAACCAGTCCTATGTCTTCATCACTCAGCATACCAAGGAACATAAACCAGTCCTTGTGTCTTCCTCACTCAGCATACCAAGGAACATAAACCAGTCCTGTGTCTTCATCACTCAGCATACCAAGGAACATAAACCAGTCCTGTGTCTTCATCACTCAGCATACCAAGGAACATAAACCAGTCCTGTGTCTTCATCACTCAGCATACCAAGGAACATAAACCAGTCCTATGTCTTCATCACTCAGCATACCAAGGAACATAAACCAGTCTTTTTTCTTCATCAATCAGTATACCAAGGAACATAAAACAGTCTTGTATCTTCATCACTTAGCATACCAAGGAACATAAAACAGTCTTGTATCTTCATCACTTAGCATACCAAGGAACATAAAACAGTCTTGTATCTTCATCACTCAGCATACCAAGGAACATAAAACAGTCTTGTATCTTCATCACTTAGCATACCAAGGAACATAAAACAGTCTTGTATCTTCATCACTTAGCATACCAAGGAACATAAAACAGTCTTGTATCTTCATCACTCAGCATACTAAGGAACATAAAACAGTCTTGTATCTTCATCACTCAGCATACAAGGAACATAAAACAGTCTGTACTTCATCACTCAGCATACCAAGGAACATAAAACAGTCTTGTATCTTCATCACTCAGCATACCAAGGAACATAAACCAGTCTTGTATCTTCATCACTCAGCATACCAAGGAATATAAAACAGTCTTGTGTCTTCATCACTCAGCATACCAAGGAACATAAAACAGTCTTGTATTCTTCATCAATCAGCATACCAAGGAACATAAAACCAGTCTTGTATCTTCATCACTCAGCATACCAAGGAAATAAAACAGTCTTGTTCTTCATCACTCAGCATACCAAGGAACATAAAACAGTCTTGTGTCTTCATCACTCAGCATACCGAGGAACATAAAACAGTCTTGTATCTTCATCACTCAGCATACCAAGGAACATAAAACAGTCTTGTATCTTCATCACTCAGCATACCAAGGAACATAAAACAGTCTTGTATCTTCATCACTCAGCATACCAAGGAACATAAAACAGTCTTGTGTCTTCATCACTCAGCATACCAAGGAACATAAAACAGTCTTGTATCTTCATCACTCAGCATACCAAGGAACATAAAACAGTCTTGTGTCTTCATCACTCAGCATACCAAGGAACATAAAACAGTCTTGTGTCTTCATCACTCAGCATACCAAGGAACATAAAACAGTCTTGTGTCTTCATCACTCAGCATACCAAGGAACATAAAACAGTCTTGTGTCTTCATCACTCAGCATACCAAGGAACATAAAACAGTCTTGTTCTTCATCACTCAGCATACCAAGGAACATAAAACAGTCTTGTGTCTTCATCACTCAGCATACCAAGGAACATAAAACAGTCTTGTATCTTCATCACTCAGCATACCAAGGAACATAAAACAGTCTTGTATCTTCATCACTCAGCATACCAAGGAACATAAAACAGTCTTGTATCTTCATCACTCAGCATACCAAGGAACATAAAACAGTCTTGTATCTTCATCACTCAGCATACCAAGGAACATAAAACAGTCTTGTGTCTTCATCACTCAGCATACCAAGGAACATAAAACAGTCTTGTATCTTCATCACTCAGCATACCAAGGAACATAAAACAGTCTTGTGTCTTCATCACTCAGCATACCAGGAACTAAAACATCTTTGTCTTCTATACTCAGCTACCAAGGACATAAACTCTTTGTCTTCATCAACTCAGGCTAGCAGGAACATAAAACAGACTTGTGTCATCTTCACTCAGCTTACCAAGAACATTAATACAGTCTGTTTTATCACTCAGCATACAAGGAATAAACAGTTTGTGTCTTCAACATACGTACAGGATTAATAACAGTCTTGTATTCTAATCACTCAGATACCAAGGAAATAAAACAGTCTTTGAAAATTCATCATCAGCTACCAAGGACATAATACATCTTGTATCTTCATCATCAGCATACAAGAACATAAAAGTTGTATTATGACACAAATACAGGAACATAAAAAGTCTGTCTCATCATACATACCAAAGCAACATTAAAACAGTCTTGATTCTTATCACTCAGCATACACGAGGACACAATTGTTCACAATATCTTCCTACTAATATCAATTTAATTTTTTCACACTTGTGCATGGATAATTGAAAATATGACTTGTATGCTCTTCCTAAGGTGGTACCAAAATTATTAAACGTTTTACATCCGTATATAATTAAGTTGATCTTCAACATAATCGGTGTAGGTTTAGTTATGGTTTAACTAATACTTACTCGGAACACTGAATAAGATATACTTTGAAAATGTCAATCATATGTTGCTGGCATATTAATTATGCATCACAGCATAAAATAAA